AGGGAAAAGTAAAACGTGTGAAACGTCAATAACGTAACGAAGCAACGATGTTACAGCTGTAAGCAGGTGATGTAAGAGCAGTGTGTAAAGCAAATCACAAGAACTCCATTTGTAAAAGCCTATTTGTTAAAACTTCATATAATGCAATGAATTTAACATGTCCGAGCATGTGTCCCAACCCTAACCAGAACGATGTACTTTCGTCTGAATGAGGCCACCAAGTACTGCCGAGGGAATGCTAATAGGGCGTTTGTTCAGGAGGATTTTCGCTCAATAACCCTTTTTTTTTAAACTCTATAAACGTTTTTTGTTTACAGCGATATAATGAATGACACATAAAATAAACGTGGTTATGGCTTATTTGACATGGACTAAGCAATTTACAAGGCAACGTGACACGTTACATAAATCTGCTCGAGATTTAGGAGGAGAAATTGGTACAATTCTGCACTCCCACGACACACTGAAGTCCTGTCAACGACCCGCACGTCGTTCTTCTGATGGGTTTAATTATATTTAACGTGTTTGCATCAGTCGTGTGTTTAAATGTTTCCAGCTAGCATTACTCTTATTTGAATTTCGGTTTAATCGTGGGATCCACTAGGCAAAGGTCACGAACGTTTAACTACCGCACTTATTCCAGAGTTTATGGTGAGAAAGAAATGCAATTCAGGACCTTTCAGATCACAACGAAACGATCGTATTTCCTGACCGAATTGGGTCAGTGTGTGCATCTCACTTGATGAATTTATTTCAGAAATCGTCAATGTTTACTATCAATATCTTGCCAGCTAATCGACTGAGCTTTTGATTCAAAGGATAAAAGGAAAATTCAAAACGACCAGCTTGCTGTGTCGCGTTGTAGAGACTTTATATTTTTTTTCTGACATTAGTTCTCTCCTGCTCTCCAGCTCTTTCTCTCACACACATAGTACGACAAATCTATTAAACGCTATATTATTATATTATGAAGTTGGCAACTACCCGCATGGCCATTTGACACTTTTCGAGAATTGTTGGATCTTTTTCTCGTTTAACAACAATATGGTTGTTATATACCGACGTGGTGACAAATATCCCGAATTACAAGCGAACTGCAGTTTATAAAAACTCTTTTTTTTTTCCTGCAAATCATAAAGAGGTCGCTAAAAAGCACCAACTTATCGTCCGCTGTGGATGAATTGTAATTGGACGTGTAGTTATGTAGATCGACTAGTACGAGTTTGGAATAACTGAACGGGTGGCTGCAATTTTGACTCGAAATACTGACTCCCCGACTTTTCCTTGATAAAGATCCGAATGGGTTCGAGCAGAGGGGTTCCCTCGACCACTTGTCACATTTCCCAAATCTCTCAGCTTCCAGCAGGCGAAGTGATCCGAGGACGAGAGGAAAACGAGCGGTGTGTGTACTATATATGTCCCAACGCCCACATTATGTTTAGATCGCTTCTCCGTTTCGGTTGCATGTGTAACAACTACTCCTTCTAAAGCAATGCCAAAGACGACCTCGATTTTATTGCGAGCCATGGACCAGATTGTCCTTTTTTTTAAAAAAAATGCAAGGATATAATCATGTTATTTTTTTAAAAAAAAAACAAAAGCTAATTGTAATTCATAAGATGCAACGATGTCCGGGTGAGAGAGAGAGATTGTATTCCAACCAAATAAAACATTGCGTGTAATGCGGGTAAACCGATAGACGGGATTTACAGCCCGAAACCCCATATTTAATACGATGGTGAGATCTTCTCATCTGGTTCACGAGTTATGGGAATCACAGTCAAAACTAGACGGGCTGTCATTTTCACACTTGTCGCTAGCAGTTTGCGCCTTAGAAAACTAACGGGTCACCATTTTGGGGGCCGAGGGGCAGAAAAATATCAAAACAAATAAATAGTATGCATTGAAATCAACACATCCCACCCCCTCCCCCCTTTTCACGAAACTCTCAAGCCTCTGGTTAACTGTTTTTTTGTGTTTATTCTTACAAACATGAAACGCCTGTCTAAATTCGCCAAATCTCAAGTGGCTCAAATTCATCAACGTATATATATATATATATATATATATATATACATATATACACACACACACACATCTTGCAAAGTATGTGCCCGACGCAAAATCGAAAGTCATTGCCCCAAAAGTATTTCTAAAGGAGCTGAGAAAGCGAGAGTGGGTTATTGTGCCTTGAAACCCAGTCTCTGGGGGTTGAAAGGAATAAAGACAATGCTCCTTAATGGATCAAAACAGGAGAGCTTGATCTTACCTCCACCTGGTCTTTGTAGTTTGATTAACTGTGTCTGCCCTTTGAATTCACAAGGCTACAAGAGCTCTTGACCTCGCTCAGACAACAACATTTAACTCTTTAATCACTCAACTGTTGGGAGAGAGAGAGAGAGAGAGAGAGAGAGAGCGAGAGAGAGTGACAGCTTCACACACACACACGGCGGCGGCGAACAGATATTTAAGTGACCTTATAAAAAAAAGAGTAAGAGAAATAAAATGAATGTCGACCCGAGTTCAACGGTGGCGGCGCAGTTTTAGTTCCTAAACCCAACTGGAAGATGTTTCGAGCGAATTGAATCGAATCGAAGAAGACACGGGAATAATAATGGAAAAAAAAACCCAACTCGGGAGTCACTCATTTAACGAGGATGAAGCGAAATGCAGAGATGCGCGTTAGCAAAGCACAGACAAGCAATGAGAGAGAGAGAGATATATTTAATAACAATGATGCTATAGTTTTGCAACCCAGGCTTTTAATGCTCGTCAATAAGTGATTTTCTCATAAAAAGAAAGCGATGAAATGCCTTTTGGGCAGGCTATGTGGCGCCAAAGCACTATTGTTTAGGGAAAAAAAAACACTACTTCTCACTTCCAACTACCCGTTGCGATCCTTAAATGGAAAAAAAAAGTGGGAGTTTTTTTTAGCTGTTTAGCTCCAGGCAAAAAAATATATATATATAAAAGGACGCTCTTCCCCCATGAAAAGGACCGGCTAAATCCCTTCTGGTCTTTTGTGAACTTTTCTTTTCAGTCGGAGCGTTCATCCGTATGATTCCCAACTTATTGTCATTACTTATTTATTAATTGTTGGCATATGGGTGTAATTGAGCAATGAGACTGGCCCTAAGGGGGGGGGGGGGGGGGGAGTGAAGATCAGGGAAGAGGAGAGACCCAATATTGTCGCGTTGTTGCTGCTATTCTCCAGGCGGTCATTGCAAACCGCGGACACGAGTTTAAAATGGGAATATCGACATCAAAAAGAAGCTTCGGGCCAGAGGAAAGGGATGCGAGATCGGGAGCGGAACTGCGCACACAGTTCTGTCGAGTTGTGTCCTATTGCCTCCAACGCCACTGGAAGTTTTTTTTAAATATTAAAATCGACGGGGGCGATGGGACGTGGGGTTCACCGCGTCAGCCACCCGTGGAAAATAGGTTTCTCAAACAATAAATGGGACTTTTGTTGCAGGTCACGCTGTTGATTTTTGCCCCTTGAAGTTGAAAGGGAGTTTGCTGGAGCCGATTTTGCATTGTGATGTCTAATAACCCCAACCCCCCCCAAACAAAATCTCCTAAACTGACTGGAAGAAGATGCAAAAATGGAAGAAAATGCACAAAATGTTACACTAATAAGCATATTAAACATTGCTCTTCGGAGATTGAGCTGGTTGATATAGGAACTTTTCGGTGTTTTGATCCCAAATCTGCTGGAGGCAGAACGCATAATATATGGGATTTTTTTTTTTTTTGGGGGGGGGGGGGGGGGAGGAGGAGGAAAAACACAACGGAAATCAGGGATTCCTTAAATCATAGCATTATTCGCGATTCTGAAATTAAATAGGAAATGGTCACTAAATGACTAGGGGCGGGGGGAGGGGGTCGTTCATATTTGCGTGATGATAAAGGTTCCGCTTTGCCCCCAGCTATAGTCACACTGGAGCCATACTGGGCGCCTGCAAAAGAGATTGCTTTGCTCAGTGCAGCAATTACTTGTTATTAACTTCCTACAGACAGACACACTTGCTAAAGAGTCAAAACAGCTCAATAAAATGCCCCCCTTTTCTCGTCTGCTACATTTTAGCTGAAAAATTAAGAGTGGTAAACAACTGGTTGACGTTTGAGATATTTTTTTTTAAAAAAGAAACACTTACGCAATCCGAGCACGTCCTATTTGGCTTGCATTCGCAATTTGGATTTTGCGAATTTTAACTTCTTCCTGTAAGAGGGTTCGTTCACATTTGCTGTAAAGCTAATCGGGCACCTGTGTCCTTAATAGAGTCAATGCAAAACAGAAATGTTGCGCAACCTTTACTGTTAAAGCATCAGTCAAACGCATACTTAAAAGGACCATGTCGGTTTTTAGAGTCAGACCATCACGTTTGTACAGTCCAGAAATGCTCCTCTGGTTTGTCACGTTAAGGACTCTGAGCGCACCCAACGCCAACCCAAACTTAAGATTTCTTCAAAGCAATAGATAACAGTAGAAATAGGTCTTACAAAAAAAATGATTCTGTAACTACGTAGTCCCAACAACAAAACCACCTAGCAAACCAAACAAATATCGTTCAGCTTGTTGAGGTTAAACCAGTTTTGGAAACGAGTTACTTAACTGGCGAATTATTTTTGTCTTCATGGATGACTCAAAGGACAAAAAGTGCGATTGTAAATCGGGTCAATCTCATTACATTAATTATACAGACTGGTGGAGAGGAGAGCTCAAATGATAGTAGTTTAGCAAGTATATATATACACACACACACATATATATATATATAAACACGTAGAATCTTGAGTTGTGAATTTATCCGCATCAATTTCAGTGCAAGACTGAACTGCAAGACGGCAAAACATTAGCAAATAAGTGTCGGCTTAAAAGAAGTTACTTGAAATGCTTAATTAAATTTATTTAACAAATATATGCATAATATAAATGATAAAACTTCAAATATACAGTATATTACATAGTACACAAACACCTTTCGGAGGGGGGGGGGGGGGTGGGGGAAGAAATCTTTTGCAAAACAGATGGGAAAATAGACAGTGCCTGCTCAATAAGAATTGCTCAGGGTGGTTTTTTTTCGGTTTAAAAACACCGCATTCCTCCCATCGAGTCCCTTCAAGCTAAGTGATACATGCTATATCCGACATGAGCAGTATATAGTCCAACAGGAGACATTGGTAGAGTGGGTCTATGGAAGGGGCTGGAGCCATAAAGTGATGTTGCAGGGATTGGAGTACCTATGGGGAAGCTCATCCCAAAAGCTGGGGGCAACATGGGCTTGGCTGCCATTTTCAGTTTCTCCAGTTCTGCTTCTTGCAGTCTTTTGGCTTTCGCCCTGCGATTCTGAAACCAGATTTTGACTTGAGTCTCTGTGAGGTTCAGGGAGCTGGAGAACTCTGCTCTCTCAGCGATGGACAGATACTGTTTCTGGCGAAATTTGCGCTCCAGGGCCAACAACTGCGAGGTGGTGAAAGGAGTTCTGGGTTTGCGGTTGGTTTTGTGTTTTCTGAGAGTGCAGGCAGGAGGACTCATCCGTCCTAAAAAGATACAAATGCTAATTAATTGGATCCATTCCTCCCAGTGTAAGCGACTTCCAAGTGGTTCAAAGGTAAAACGCATGTCACTAAACAGTTCGTGGATTTCTTACAAGTCAACCCCAATGAAAGGAAGCTTAAATGCAACAAAAAAAAATATGACATGCCCCAGTGATGGAACACCGAGAGGATAATTAAGACGAGACTTTATAGTTTAAGTGATACTTGTGCCAATTATTCTATGCCACGCGTTACCATAATATTGCATTCGGTCTCTGATCTAAAATGAGTCGGTGCAGTTTTAAAGGCGCCTCGTGTGTGTGTGTGTGTGTGTGTATATATATATATTGTGTGTATATATATATATGTGTGTATATATATATATGTGTGTGTATGCAAACTGAGTGACAACTCTCACTTACTGGGAGGTGGGGAGAATCGGGAATCTTGCATCCACGGCGACCGTTCTTGCCTCTCGGTTGCCTCCGACTTGACAAGTGCATCTTCGGACATTTTTAACAGCCCCTCCACCGTGTAGGAGGTGTTGGCGACCAGCAGGTTGGCGGCGGACGGAGTTTCCTGCACCGATAAGCCGGCGCTGGCGATCCGGGGGCTGGGGGTCTGGGAGGTGCCGGCGGCGGTCCCGTCCGAAGCCAGGGCATCCCGGCTGGGCTTCCTGTCGGACATCAGCGCCTCGACGCTGAAGGGCAGCGGCGCGGGGAGCGCTTTGGGTCTGTCCATCTCCTCGTCGCTCGCCGGTGTGAGGCTGGTCTGCGGCGCGTCCTCGCTCTTGACGCCGCCAGAAGCAGCGGCCACTTGCAAAGCGCTCATGGCGGAACGAGGGGCCATATAGCGGAGCCGACCCCTTGCCAGGCGGAGCATTCAAAACAAATCGCGAGAGAGAGAGAGAGAGAGAGACAGACACAGAGAGACAGAGAGAGAGACAGAGTGCAGAGGAGCGCACGGTCCCGATCCCAATCCCGATCCCGATGGCTGCGGGGGCCCCCGTCCTCCCCCCCCGGTTCAGAACATGGTCAATTTCCTCCACTCGCCGCGGCCCTCCGGGCGTTAAGAAGCGACACGGCGGCGCGGCGCGGCCCAATCGCTGCGCTCGGGGGGTGGGGAGGGGGGTCCCCATTGGTCGGGTTCCCGGGGACCCGCCATCGCCGAAGCTTTTCGAAATAAATTAGCACTTAATCTGATTGGCCACTCGCTGGGAAGGGTTTATTGCTGAGAGCTCCGGGGCCCTAATCTCATATAAACACAAGTGCCCATAGAGCAATTTAAGGGTAATTATCTGGATGGGGAGTGGGGGGGGAGGAGGAGGGAGGGAGAGGGGAGGGAGGGAGAGAGAGAGAGAGAGAGGGAGGGAGGGAGGGAGGGAGGGAGAGGGAGGGACGCTGACAACCAGTTCAATTTCCCTTTTAACTGGAGCCTTCCAAGGCTGGTGAAGTAACAGGGAGGAGGAGGAAGAAGATGAGGGAGGGAGGGAGGGAGGGAGAAAAAAAAAAGATCCTCATTAAAACAGGGCTTTTTTTTTGGAGAAATAAATCGGTCCTCCCCCACCCCCCAAAAAAAAAAGAATTGATTCTCGATTTTGCTTTCCTCCCCTCACCCCCACCCATCCCTCACCCCCTCACCTCACCCTCTCTCTTCCCCCCCCCTCTCGCCCTCTCTTCTTTGCGAGATTTTTGCCTTCTGTTTCCGCCGAGCGTCTGCATTGCTAATTGCGACTATAAGCAATCTGTCACGATTAGTCAGTGCCTTTAATAGGCAGACAAGTTATGTTGTTTTTAGGCGCCAGCAGCGGCGCGATCAAAGGAGGCGACTTCAGGGAGAGTTATTCAAAAGTTATACCCCGCATCAAGAGAGCAGACCGCCTTCCCCCCCCCCCCCAGTCCGCCCTCGCCCTGGGACATTAGGGCTATTCAGCTTTAAAATGATGCTTTCTTGGGGGGGGGAATCGCACGCCACTTTCGAGAAGTTTGGAGAATAGTTTAACTCGGTGCTAATCATTAGAAGAGCGCAGTGGAGTCCGGGGCCCCCAGCGGACTGACACGGCTCAAATATAGATCGAAAATATATTCCGAAGTAAACGCAGATAAAGACGGTCTCTCGTTGCTTTTATTTCTGACGTTGCGACTCCGCTCGAACGAATCGTTTTTTTTTAATTGACGGACGGTTCGAAAACACGTTAACCATCCTATTTTTTTAAAAAAAAAGCCGTGCCCTTTTCGAGCCAGCTTTTTTTTTTTGGAGGGGGGGGGTCAAGTTATTAATAACTAAAAGCAAAGACCGAATTGAAAACAAAAGCAACGCTCCTCACTCTGCACGAATGCGCTCCGCCTGGTCCTGGCAAGAGAGCTCCCCCCCCCCATCCCCGCTCCCCCATCGTATTTGCTTTACACGTTCAGTGGAATCCCAGAGTCTGCATTGATTGATCAATTAATTCATTAACGAGACCGGGAGCCAGAAAATGAGCAGCAACTTCCTTCTTCGGGGTTTGAGACATAAATGCCAGAGTGACATGTGGCACCAGAGAGAGGGTTTACTTATTAGCATTTGCGTCACTCTTGTGTGTTTGTCTTCGAATAGATGCGACTCAGCGGGAGCGGTCGCGATAGATAACAATATTGCACAATTAGCATCCTAAATAACGCACTTAATATAATGAACCTGACACGCTAAGGCCATTAGCCATGACGTTCGGTTTTATCTTAATTACAGCAAAACAAATAAGGCTTGAAACCGGAGAGGAGGACGTGTTTTATCACTGAGCTCGATTTAGTAAATGGAGAGACGAGGGAATTGTCGCTCACAGAGGCGAAAGGGTTATTTCTATTTGTGGGTCGTTATGTGTATTTATATATGTGTGTGTGTGTGTAAAAAAAACAACAAATGAAAACCACTGTGAATGTAAAATGCGTCAACACACGTTTGAACCGCCCCCCCCCCTCCACCCCACCCCCAAACATACACTTTTCAAATATTGTAGGATGTGCTGCTTTGTGTGTGTGTGTGTGGGGGGGGGGGGGGGGGGGGACAGAATGATTGCTTTAGGTAGTTTACGTGATTTGTTTTAAGTATATATTTAACAGTTGCGTGTTTTTGTTGCCTGGGAGTTTTGCAAAAAATCTTTCAGTGGATTTTTTTTCTTCTGCAAAATGCAAGAGACCGATGAACAGTTAGCAATGTTAGTACTCACGAAATCTAAAATCCAGGGAGATTATTCCCCCTGGTTATCTCCGAGTTTCTCAATTCGACCTGCGCTGATCAACAACTCGGATATACTTACTGGCTCCTTAAAACTGCAGCTCAATCCTTTGGAGTTTGCATCCGTGAAAGGAATGCAATATTTCAAGTGCCCAAATTAATTTGATGCCGAAATTATGATGCACTTGGAAAAGATGAAAGAAAAAAGGCTGGCCGTCTCCTCCAAGATCTATATAATTATAGATAATATATCCTATTTCAAAGCAATTAGCTCAATCAGGCGTAACGAGGCACTTTGCTGCCAGGGAATAACAATGCCTTAAGGTTATTTAAGCTTCAAGATGTCAAGCGTACACGAACACTCCGTGGCTTGCCCAGAGAACATTGGCTCTGCTGGATAAAATACCAACTCAAACGCTGTCCTGATGAGATGTTTCTCCTTAAAAAGAGGAGGAGGAGGAGGGGAGGAGAGAGACTCCATTCCCACATTTGCTCTTTATAAGGTCGATGTTAATCGTGTTAATTGCATCACAGGGAATATTAAATAATAACCCCCACCCCGACAGGAACTGACTTCAGAGCTTATGATGGGTGATTTCATATTTTGAGGAATAGTTTGTTGGAGCAACATGGCATACACATGCTTTTTTATATGTGGATCAATAAATGAATAAACGTCGCCTTTTAATTTGTACGAGACTCCACTCCACTGATGTTTTACAAGTTTCGTTGCAATTCATTGCGAGAGTTTTGTTTATAGAGTTCTACAGTCTGTTATGTCCTGTAGACAAATGACTCGTTTGATCTTATTTCATCGTCAGATGTAAGGGCCTACTTTTTGTGTGAGCGGGGAGGGGGACTTCCATTTCATTTTATTCTACAAAGAAGTAAAACTTCACAAATATGTTAAATCATTCTGTGTAGCGAAATAATGCTTAACATCTGTATCAAAGACAACCGACAGATCCCAATTAGGTGAAGAATTAATCTCCCTTTATAGTTTTTCGCATCATGTGCAAAAGAAAAGGTCAAAGTTTTCCTTCATGTGAGGCCCCATTTTTTCCTGATCTCAACACACATCCAAACAGATCCACCATTAAAAATGTTTATTAGAATCGCAAACAAAAATGCCAAACCTGGTATGGGCTTGTTATTTGGGGGGACTTTTCTCGTGGGGTCAGTGAAGAGCAATTTGTTCCAAACCCCGTTCCTTCATTTACAAAAATCAAAGCTCTCTAACTTCACTGAAGGAGAACGATTTGTGATTTTTGCCTTCTAAAATTCCACTCCATGTACCGATTCTTGTTTTCCAAATGACTTTTGGAATAGTTTTCCAAAATGGAATATTTTTTCGCCCACAAATGATGCAGTCAGTTCATTTTACAGTATATTCTGAGAAGCGCTTGGAGACGTCTCACTGATGCGATGAGGCGCTATTGCATGGATTATTATTATGTTATTATATAATGTCACATACTCTCCACGCACAAACACACGCTTAGCTCCTCGCGGGCTTCTTGGTAACGGCCTGTCGACCAACATCAAAATGTCATAAGATGATAAATTATTTTTCCCGATGTGTTTTGTAAAATTTATGAAGTTCTTCAAAACCGTTCTGATATTATATGTGTATATCTATATTAAAAAAAAACACAGTGCGCAGTGTGTCCTTTGCATTTTGAAACAAAAGCTGTGAAGTTTAAAAAATAATCTCTGGCAATGAAGTGTTTCAGGGTTGTGAGCAGAGTGGAGAGCGCTGGACATATTTTTACCTTCGAGCAATCGAGATGTACCCCCGAACACACAGACACCACATCCACGATGGATGTTCAGCAACAGAGCCGAGTATTACCTCGTCTGTGTGAAAGGGATGGAGATTTCTCAGCAGTGACTGACTGCACAATCGCTACATTTGCATTATATATATATAATATACACACATATATATATATATATATATAGTTTCAGACAAATAGCAGAACCTTCTAATGATGTCAGTCGCATTGCGAACGCAATATGAATCCGCCAGAGGGATGTCTGACGGTAATATCATTTGAACTAAAAAAAAAGATCATCGTATAGAATTTGAAGGTAGGACAGACGCAGATTTGCTCTCGCTATTTCCTTCCCATCGCAGGCTGTTGTGTCTCCGGCTGAATGCGGTGGTTGTGCTGCGGATTTTCGATCCCTTAAGTTCTCCTGTTTTTGCTATCCAAGCGTACAAAAACGGGGAAACTATATTTCTTGTCTGCCTCTGTTCAGTAATCACACAATAACGCGCCATTATTGAGCTGCTGAATGAAGGAGTTAAGACGTGTTGTGTCTTAATGATACCATACAAAATGACACACAGCATTTCCAGCATCGTCTGACAGTAATTACAACGCAGATTGAAGCTTTCAAGAAATAGCTGCAAAGGCTGATAAGCTTCGCTATACTTCTCTGCTCCTTACGATAAACGCTAGGTCGTGTCATTCATATAACTTATTTTGTGCGTTATAATTTATCATGCTAAATAAATAACTGGGTGGCAGTTTTAATCGCATCCACCATGTCACTTTTTTTTATTAAAAGTCTAAATATTTACTCTCTTTGAGTGTTTTAATTCGGGTCTTTGATTTCGGTAAATTTGCTCCCTGGAGACCTTTTTTTCACGTAGTTTTCAAGCGTAATGCTTCACGTTATATTCGTATCACTGACGGGATGTATTGTTTTCTCACCCATTCGTTTTGCGGCACGCAAGACTATGTAAACGTGCAGAGAGATTTCATTAGGGCTTCCAAAATGTCTCTCGAGATCTTAAATGCAGATATATGT